ACCTTTTCCAAGCTGGGTTGAAAATGTTTCGACTCGCAGCATTTTGGAATCATATTTAAATTACAAGTTACTTTAATATATAGATTGTGTTAAAAAATACGAAGAACACTTAACTATTTTCACTAAAATAATAAATGAGGCTGTATATCGAAGTTGAACATTTAGCTGGAGTCCTATAACCGTCAAGCAATCTGAAAAGCATTTTCCTGGTTTTGTGTAGCGTAAAATGTCATTACTTTAATTAAATCTTAATTAAAATAAGTTACTTTTATAGACGTGATTATGCACCGATACTTAAATTGCGAGTTACATACTTTGATTTCCTGGTTTAGTTAAAAAATGTAACTGGGAGATGTGTAAAAGTCTTTACTCCCTACATTAGTTCATAATAAGGATCTTTAAAATCAGTTCTAATGCGATCATCATCATCATCATCGAAATATAACTGGGCGCCTGGGGCCGTTAGCGGCCTTTTTCCCATTCATCTTGTATTTAATCTTTAAGGTGGTTCTTTCTGGTAACTGGAATAAAAGGAAATCAAATATTTTGTATTTTAGTTAAAATTATGTCACTACAAAAATGAGTTGCAATCGGCCTGAGGTTTATGTCTTCTCTTAAGTTTTCGAACGTAAAAATTTCGTTGAATCCTGCGGTGTCACAATATATGGTCTTTTCAAAAAATCTGAAGATTTGCTTTGCAATGTGATGATCTAAAAAATCTATGTTGAGGTCGCTATGTATGTTTTTATTGCTGATAAACCATCTTGCTTTTGTTATTTTCCTGAGGATTTTGTTCTGGCATATTTTGAGTTTTTTAAGGAGTGATGTAGAGATGTTGCACCAAGCTCAGTTCTAATGCGAGCGAAGATGTTTCCCCTTTTATTCAAACATACACCTGTGGCACAGAGGAAACTTGCTTGGAGATGCACCGTGATTTTTTCGCTCGTGAATGAGAATCTGATTGGCGAAATATCCACGAATCACTACAATGTAAAGATGTTCTATGCAGCAAAAACAGTCCTTAATAATATTACAGGTTGGTGAATCGAGTTTGAAGCAGAAATGAACAGACAAAAACGTTGCATTTATTTAAAAACAAAAAATTGGCTGTGTCATTTTCATTTGCACTCTTTTTCTATTTCATTAAGATAACTTTTATATAAATTTTATAATATAATGGCTGCTGTAGCAGTTAGTCAACCCCCTCAAATTCCTGAAGAAAGTCCTAAAGATAAAGCACTTCAAGATTATCGAAGAAAGCTTCTTGAGCACAAGGAAATCGAGGGACGTTTGAAAGAAAGTATGAGTAGAATTTTTTATGCTCTTTATAATTTTCCACATTCTTTAACTATTAAGGTGATATTTCCTTATCATGATCTGTCGTGCAATTTAAAAAATGAAATAAAAAAAGAAGCACTTAAAGGTTTGCGCTTGGGTGAATACGAGTAAAAGTCTTTTGAGTTAGTCCTTTAGTATTTCGCGTAATAATTCCTTTTTTGAAATACATAGAATAGTATAAGAAGGCCATTTAAAATTTGTTGATGATGAAATTCAGTTATTACATAATATTGCACATTTTGATGAATTTTTAGGGTGTTAAATGAGTGATCTTTCAAAACTCAAAGTTCCCTTTTCAGAGAGTCCCGCAGTGGACTGATCGTTAAGACACGGTTCGTTAAGATCACGGTCAATGTGCGGGTGGGGGACCACTTGGATCAGCCTGCGTAGGGACTGAGGGTGTGCGGTATGGGTCCTCGTTAAAATGTTCTACCGTAAAGTGCTCGACTTCGTGTGCAGGTCGTCGGGCTACCGAAGCGGGGGTGCCATCCCCTCTGCAGAGGATCAAAATTGTGATGGCATGTCTTCGGATCATCCTTAGGGATGTTTCCCAGACTGTCGCCAATATCCCATTGTGCAGCTCTAGTGCGACGTAAATGAACAACAACCCTTTTCAGAGAGGAAGTACCCTGTCCTTTTTTAATTCTCAAGGAGAACTGTGATAAAAACTTTTGGCAGTATAGAATTGTCTAATTAATAAAATGAAAAGATTGGTTTTCTGGGACGCTTTCATTATTTCTGAATAAAGCCTGTTTTATCCAGGTTGCCTGATTGGGAAAGGTGAGAAAAGAATTTTATCAAAGTAAACTTATAGGTTTTCTGAATGTCTACAAAGCTTTTGTTACGTTACCATATTTAGTCTAACCAGGGCAAGCAGCAATCCATTTTATTAAAAAATTTATACTGAGTATAACAACTGAGTTTCACTTAGTGATTTTGTTTGTTTACCTTTATGAATTGAAAAGCAAATTGAAAAAATATTATAAATATCTATAATATAAATTCTTATGATTTCTTTCCTTCTTAACATTATAAATAAAATATTGTTGCTGAATTTTTATATGGAATTTTTTTGATGATTTGAAAACACATCAACATTTTAATTACTATTGGGAGCAATATCAAAGCTTATTGCTGATGCAATGTTGGAGATTAAAAGCTTTGGGTTTCTCTCTATTAATATTTAAATCTAGGGTAATTCAAGTATAAAGAACAAAAAGGAAAAAAAAATATTGTAATGTAAAGTGGCACTTTAGTATTTTTTTTAATGTTTTTTGAATTATAAACAAAACTATTTACACAACTTTCTTCGTTATTTATTTTATTAATAACGCTGTTATGAACCAAGTACCAACAAAAGTAATTTTATAGTTTATTACAAAAAATTCAATTCTCTAGAATAATGATTGTACTAGGTCAATTAAAAAAGAAAATGTTGAAAAATAAAATACTTACTATTTATCTTGTTGCTTAAAATTTCTATTAAAATTTGTTAATCAAGTTTGTATATATAATACAGTAACAGTTCTTTACACTTCGGTTAATGGAAAAATAGTTAATTTTATAGTCCCTTATTCAAGGGTTCCTCTCTGGTTACCGTACTCCCAACTAGTGTGAAAATGTCTACAAGCTTAAGAATATTATATATAACAAGAGGTCTGGTACAACAAACTTCTATGATAGTTTGGGCACATCATCAAGATTAAAACTGCACAGGAACCCATGCCCGGATCTGTCATCATATGCCGCTGGGTATGCTTCCCAATAATAAACTATTCAGGAGCATGTAAATAAAACTTTCATAATAGGGAAGTGCCTTCAATGACATATGATGACATATCCGGGCATGGAATCTGATGAAATTTTAATCCTTATGACATGCTCTAACTTTCTCAATCATTCGTTATGTATGTTTTTAACTTGTACATTTCAATACTAATTAGGTTAAAAATATCATTTAAAGAAAATGTGTAGCTTTATTTTTAATTTTCACTGTTGTGATTTTTTTTTTAGTGAGGGAACAATTAAAGGAATTCAACAAGCTGTATGAAAAATCAGAAAATGATTTGAAAGCTCTACAAAGTGTTGGACAAGTAAGTCTTGCAACAACTGTTTTGTCATTCTACCAGATAATATTGTTAGTTTAATTGGAAAATAAGTTACTTTATAGCCCTGGAGCAGTATTATGTTTTTTGATTATTCCAAGTACTCTGTGGATACAGTATAGGACCCCAAATCCGGCACTCACGAGACCGACGAGATTCCGTATTTTGGAATTTCCTGAATTTCGGATCTCTTTCGGAAATTCCAATATGGCGCCCATATATTAGGATAATTCAATCATACTGTTAATTTCAGAAAAAAACTATGGATTTAGTTGTTTTGATCTTAAATTATGATGGGGTGAATTTAAAACTGTCACATCCTAAGAAATTTTATTATTTAAAATAATAATCTAAATAATAAAAATAACTATATATATTTTTTAAATATTCTAAAAGCATGTACTTCTCCAATGGTAATTTCAATGTCAACTGGTGTGGCCAATTTATGATTAAATCAGAGAAGGAAATGTGTCGACAAACCAGTAGAGCACATGATCAATTCTCGATTAGATTGATCAATCTCTCACAATTTGCATATTATTGGACAGATGTAATTTTAATAGTGGCCTGTTTTTTAAAAATTGAAAATTCTAAGTGTTTAAAAGCATTTTGATATTATTAATGCAGCATTTTTCAAAATATGGTTAATATTACAAGTTGATATTACATATAATACTAATATATTTATTTAAATTACATATAATAATATATTTATTTAAATTAGGAGAATAAATTTTACAGAGCAATAGATTTTATTAGAATGTCTTGTGCATGTGACAGGGCATCTGAACAGCAGCTGCCCCGTCTGATTTTATTCATGAAGTATAACATATTAAATATATTTTTGCCAAAACTTAATTTTTATTCCTAAATTTGTTTTAGGCATTTATGACTAGGTACTGTTTATTTCCTTTAACCATCTTATTTCATTTAGTAAATGTGCTAGATCTGATCCATACCACAATCAAATTAAACAAAATCACATTGTTCAAGAGTTCAAATGTTTTTTATTCATGTGTACTACTTTATTCTGCTTTTAAAAAAAAATTCTATTTTTAAGTAAACTTAACAATTTTTAATGTATTTCTTCTCAAAACACACTGATATCTTTCTGTTTTGATAAGGAAATTGTAGAACAGACATTTTGTGATTTTAAAAATTTAAAAAAAAGAATAAAAGAAAGAAATGCCTCCCCCCCCTCAATGTAAGTAAAGCAATGAATAATCATTTATCTAACACAAAACTAAATCAGTTTATTTTGTTTTAATTTTTAAATTTGTTTTTCAAAATCTAATCTATCATCTAAATGAGGAATTATGAACTTGCAGTCAGTGGTCTGCATAGAGCAAAGCATGTGGACATTTTTGGAAGAGCTAATTTTTTTGGTTGTAGAATGTTTCCTAGAAAGTAAAAAAAAAAAAAAAATCCTAGTAAAATGTCATTTAAATAACATATTTTTCTATTCATGTGTGTCCTATCTATGCTTTCTTCTTGTTTTGAAAAATAGTTCTCCTACTTTAACTAATTCTCCATATCTCTGACCTCTTCTTTTATACATAACTTTATAAAAGTGAATTAAACTAACTACAAAGACATAAACTTTTTTTATTTTTATGATCTATAACTTTTGTTACTAGTACAACTTTTTGAACTATTCTTTTTATTTATCATAATTTATTTAATTTTTTTAACTTTAGATTGTTGGAGAAGTTTTGAAACAACTGACTGAAGAGAAATGTAAGAATTCAGCTTTTTTTAAAAAAAAATTATTCTAATTAATTAACTTTTTTATTGTCACAGATTTTACCTGTTTGTATTTTGGGTTAGAAAATTTGTATATATATATATTTTTTTGTCCTAAAGTGTTTAAAACTATGCTATAATGTTCAAAATTATCAAAAAGTATATAAGTAGTATCTACATTAAAAATTTCATGGTTGTCTTCTTTTTTTCTTGCTATATCTTTTATAAAAAAAAAAAATCTGTTCTCATAAAATGGAAGTCTAATTTTGTGATCATACTTCTTCTTTCAAACTCAATTTGGATTTCTAAAATCCATGTCTAAACAACCTTTATTATAATGCCAATAATAAAGAAAAATGTCTATTTTTAAAAATTTATATTAAATTGTCAGGCCATATTAAAGTGCACTAGAATGTTTTTAGTTTGAGAAACATTGTGTCTATGCCTTTCAAGTAAACTCATTGTTTTGTGACGGAAATTTAAATGTCTAAAACTTTATTGACATTTCAGTCAAAGTGTATTTAAATTTTAAAACTAATAATTATGTTTTTAAAATTATTTTGTATCAAATTCACTTTATTTTCATGTGGATAGAAATCTTCTGATCCTGTTAATTTATTTTCATAAATTATTTTAAAACAAGCAAAAATTGATGCTGAGTTAAAGATTGATAAAAACTTTTGGAATGTTATTATTCCTTGATAAAAGAACGAAATTATTATTATTTTTTAAAAATTTTATTAAAATTATGCTAATTTAGTCCAGAAAGGTTTTTTAAAACCTTATTTCATTGATTAGTTTAAAACTGTATGTTAGAAATAATTAATCATATTTTTGTTAGTCCACTTAATAAAGCTGTTTGTCATATTCATTTTTTTTTCTTTTCCTCCTAACAACTTGTTAGAGAATTTTCCTCCCATACAATCATCTAATGCAGGGGTGTCAAACTCGCGGCCCGAGATGAACATTTTTGTGGCCCAGTCAATATATCCGAAGCAAAGTAAAGACAGGGTTCATCCTAAGCGGGGTTTACGGGGCGGCCCGCCCCGTATGCCCTTTTGATATAAAATATCTGCCCTATTGCCCTTTACTCCTTTTATCCTGCCCTGATATAATTAAATGCGCCCTGTTGTGTCCCCTCCAAAAAGATACCACTTTCCTGTAAGAAAGNTCAAAAGACAGTGAGTTGTTGTGTCAAATATCTTCCCTTAAAATTCTTCCCTTAAAATATCGTTTGTAATAATTATTTATCAGCTTATTTGAGTCACCAAAGTGAAACATTAAGAGCTAGTTATTAACCAGTTCTTAACCAGTACTTGAAAATAAATCCGATCAATGAATAAAAAGTAATTCAGGGCTTCTCTTTGCACACTATGTAGAGTGCAAAAATTGATCTTTATTGTACCGTTACCCCTCTAGCTGTGATCTCTAAATTTAACTTTAGTAACGGTTACCCAAGTTATACAATAGGCAAGTATCGAATGAATTACAGGAAACTCTTAACATTTAAAACTCATTTTTATTGCAACTCTAAATCTCTTCCAAAAACATAATTCCACACATTTCCAAATGCTAACATGGGAATAAACACTTCCCTTTATACATTAATTAAAACAACATGCAACCTTAAAACACTCAAGCATAACCTTCAATTCATACAGTTCAAAAAAAGACATTTAAGAAATGAAAACTGCATTTAACATTACTAAAAGCACTTAAGACTTGGTTTATGATGTCTATTAATCAATCACACTTAAATACTCATTGTTCTCCTATACAAAGAAAACACAACATAAACAGTTCAAAATTTACGGTAAATAATTCCTCTAAAATGTTAACGAAATAAAATTGAAGGTTTTATAAGTACCCAAAAGAATTTACTGTTCGCCCTCTGGAAGCGCCCACTGGAATGGTAGATGAGCTCGTGGGCAAACTCCTCGGCTAGGATCTCAAAATTTCTCCAGCTATTCTAACTTCATTAGGCTTAGGCATGTAGAAGGAGAACACCGGACTTCCAGCATAGATACGTTCGAACTTGGCTCACCGTCTGGAATATATCGGCCTTCGGCTAATCACGGTCGTTCTTCCCGCTAGAGACTTCAGTTTAGCTTTTCTTAACTTCACGATCCACCATCCCCGAGGTGCTGTCACAGACCACCCTTCCTACGGACAAGCTCCGTATCCTCCGTGTTACTGCTTTTAGCCACACTCTTCACTTTTATCCTCCCTTCAGCAAGGCGAAAGAATCTAGTTTGACCTGTTTACCAAATCCAGAGTCACCCCGCATCCGGCAAACGTCAGAACCAAAAAAAAAAAAAAAAAAANGAGTCAAAAAAAAAAAAAAAAAAAGATCCCTGAGAAAAAACAGTCGTAAACCAACTAATCCCCTATCGAAGTTATAATACCATCCTCAATAAATATTAATAAATTTAGTTACCCAGATTTCACCCCAAAAATCCCATTTTAAATGACTAATTCAAAATTTCCAAAAAAAATATCATTATTATGATTGAATTAAAACTTTACCATAGTGGTGCCATCTACAGAAAAATAATCTATCTTTAAAAGTATTGAAAAAAAACTATAATAAATTTCTATTTATTACAATATTTGCAAAAACTTAAGAACCCTGAGTTAGTCTTTTTTTTTTTTTTTTTTTTTTTTTTTTTTTTTTTAAACTGTGCTTCAAAATCTTTTGTAAGATTTTCTGCCTTTAAAAATTTCCTTCACAATATTGGAACACTACAAGATGAACTACATAATACTGCAAATGTGGAAAGAAAAAAACTTGAGTTGCAGTTGTAAACAATGTTGCAAAAAACTAATGAAAGAGTACAATATTTTCTCAGAAGATAAAAATGTATTGAAAAGATTCTTGCTGAAGATAGTCAACGATACTCAATTGCTACTAAATCCACTTTTAAAAAAACATACTACAGTACAGATCCCGTTATCCGGAAATCAGAAATCCGGAAAACCAAAAAACCGGAACGAAATTTGATTAGTTTTCCCGTCATTTAAAAAAAAAAATTTTTTTTCCTCATAAGATTTTAGGATTTTTCGTTCTTTTTTGAAAGATGTTTACCTTACCATCATTTTGGAAATAATCATTAGTGTATTGCTTCATCTTTTTTTCTTTTTAAGATTATTTAAAAAAAATTTTTTTTATTAGTTGGGTTTAACTATTAAAAAAACTGCTTTTTGCAGCGATTCAGAAGACCGGAAAAATCAGTTATCCGGAATATCGATGGTCCCGATCGTTCCGGATAATCGGTTCCCTACTGTATTAATTTTTTTGCTAATTTTCATTCTATATAAACTATTTATTGTGAATCTGTTGTAAAAATTATTATGTTCTTGAAAAAGCGTAATAATTTAAAATTTTACAATAAGTGTTTGAAGTTTAAGGTGATTGAGTTTTGCTTTGGAATTGCTCGATTCAAGTGAAATTTTGTGCTGTCTGATTTTTTGTTGTTGGTTGGAACAAGATTAGGGGGTAGGACAGCCAAAATTCTTACTTTTAGAAAATTACTTATAGCTGAGGTCCACCTTACTGTAGCTACAAAATTAAAGAATAATAATAATTTTTTTAAATATTTAAATTGAAACTGATACAATAATACCATGTCCAATTAATATAAATAAGTTTTTATTTAATCCTGAATTGAGTGATTGTAAAATGTATGTTGTAGGTACCTTCCAAGAGAAGTGGATCCTTTGGTTTATAACATGTCACATGAAGATCCTGGTGATATAACTTACTCCATGATTGGTGGTCTTGGTGAACAAATTCGAGAATTAAGAGAAGTAAAATTTATTTTACACATAGATAAGATTTGTATAAATACTTTTTATTGTTATAAATTCAATTATATTTACTACTTATTATTTATGTATATTTATAGTATTTTAGATTTTATATCTTAATTACTAACATTTATACATTTTATGTCTTAATTACTGGAGTATTATAAGCAATCATAATTTAGCATATACAGTAGTCTCCTTTTCACGATCATTGGTTAATTTTATTAATCGCTTATTGATATCAAAATCACTTGATCCAAAAAAAAATTTTTTCACCTGTGTGTTAAAATTATTGCATTTTGTGTTCATTACATAGTTTAATGTTAGTATTTATTCATTTTTTCAAAAATCAAGCTGAGAAATATCTATTGGTAAAGAATGTGATGCTCTAGTTAACGGAGCATTTATGCTGCATATATTTATAATCCAGACAATTAGCAATTTTTTTTGTTCAAATTTTGTATGATTTTTGTATTTTACTGGCAATTATACAGACATAAATATAAAGCAAGATTGTCTTCTTCTTCTTTTTTTTTTTTTTTTTTTTTTTTTTTTNCTGGCAATTATACAGACATGAATATAAAGCAAGATTGTCTTCTTTTTTTTTTTTTGTCTTTTTTCATACTCAGTATGTGTGGCTTAAATTAGTTAAAGTATCTAATTCTGTGTTTCTTTTAAAATGTTAATTTTATCAAAATCATTGCGTCTCTAAGTGATCACATTGAGCAGAGACTACAGTAAAATCCTTTTGTTGCATCTTTTTTATACACCATCATTTCATTTTAAAATTATATTCAAGGAAATACTTGGTAATGTATGTTTTACCGAATGGTTTTTGAGTTAATGACAATGAGAATCATGTTCGGTGAAAATTTCTTTAAACAGGGATGACAGCGACAGTAACTTTTTTTTAAATATATTGTGAGATACTAGGTTTTTTATTTTTTAAACTTTTTCTTTTATCTCTTTTTTTATTAAAAGCATTGCCTTTTAATTTTTTCTTTCAACAATTTACCTAGTTCAGTTTTTTACTTTTTAAAAAATAAAATAAAAATTCTTAAACTGAAAAAATAAAATAATCTTACAATTTATTTTATGCAAAAACCATTAGTTGCTTTAATGAAAAACTAAAATTAGTAAATCAAATTAAATTCATATAAAATCCATTTAATTAAAATTATTATCTTTTTTTTTTTTTTGAATAAATTTTTTTTTAGAAAAGCAATAATGGATCCTAAAACATTTAAATTGTCTTAACATGCTTAGAACAACATGCATCCAGGTATGTAACATGTAACATGGAGGCAACATGTATCCAGAGGCTTTGATGGAAGAATATGTTGGGATGGCCTAGGCCATCTCTGAACTGTAGTGCCAAGAAGTCTGTTTTGAAAGAATTTCAGCACTGAAATTGATTTTTTCATAATGATTGAACTATGGCTTTCATATTTAATTTATTTAAGCNTTGTATAAATGCTTTTTATTGTTATAAATTCAATTATATTTACTACTTATTATTTATGTATATTTATAGTATTTTAGATTTTATTAATAATTAGTAATTACTAGCATTATTAATGCTAGTAATATTAATTATATATATATTATATATATATTAATTATATATATTAGTAATTATTAGTAATTACTAGCATTTATACATTTTATGTCTTATTTACTGCAGTATTATGAGCAATCATAATTTAGCGTATACAGTAGTCTCCTTTTCACGATCATTGGTTAATTTTATCGCTTATTGATATCAAAATCACTTGATCCAAATTTTCTTTTTTCACCTGTGTGTTAAAATTATTGCTTTTTGTGTTCATTACATAGTTTAATGTTAGTATTTATTCATTTTTTCAAAAATCAAGCTGAGAAATATCTATTGGTAAAAAATGTGATGCTCTACTTAACGGAGCATTATGCTGCATATATTTATAATTGAGACAATTAGCAATTTTTTTTTGTTGAAATTTTGTATGATTTTTGTATTTTACTGGCAATTATACAGACATGAATATAAAGCAAGATTGTCTTCTTTTTTTTTGGTTGTCTTTTTTCATACTCAGTATGTGTGGCTTAAATTGGTAAAAATATCTAAATCTGTGTTTCTTAAATTGTTATCAGTTTGTTAATTTTATCAAAATCATTGCGTCTCTAAGTGATCACATTGATCAGAGACTATGGTAAAATTTTTTTGTTGCATCTTTTTTATACACCTTCATCATTTAAAAATTATTTTCATCGAAATACTTGGTAATGTATGTTTTACCGAATGGTTTTGAGTTAATGACAATGAGAATCGCATACGGTGAAAATTTCTTTGAACAGGTATGACAGCGACTTTTATTTAAAATATATTGTGTGATACTAGGTGTTTTATTTTTTAAACTTTTTCTTTTATCTCTTTTTTTATTAAAAGCATTGCCTTTTAATTTTTTCTTTCAACAATTTACCTAGTTCAGTTTTTTACTTTTTAAAAAATAAAATAAGAAATCCTCAACTAAAAAAAAATAATATTACAATTTCTTTATAATTTTAAGTTATTTTATGCAAAAACCATTAGTTGCTTTAATGAAAAAACTAAAATTAGTAAATCAAATTAAATTCATATAAAATCCATTTAATTAAAATTATTATCTTTTTTTTTGAATAATTTAAAAAAAAAATAATTAAAACATTTAAATTGACTTAACATGCTTAGAACAACATGTATCCAGAGGCTTTGATAAAAGGAGTATGTTGGGATGGCCTAGGCCTTCTCTGGGCTGTAGTGCCAAGAAGTCCCTTTTGAAAGAATTTCAGCACTAAAATTGATTTTTTCATAATGATTGAACTATGGCTTTCATATTTAATTTATTTAAGCTCTATCACTCAAAAAGGTTAAACATTACTCAGATCTTGTTCTATTTTTTGGCGATCATTAAAATCCACCCTTAGAAAAGAGATCATTCATTTATTTACACCATTCATGAAAATTCATTGTTGCTCCACTGTTCACAGTTCGGTGATTTCCACATGTGAACAAAAAAGGGAATTGAAAGAACATTTTAGAGCAGAAATTTTTTTTTATACCGTAGGAAAAAAACATTTTTTAACACTATTTCCTTTTATATATTTCCATATTGTTGACAATAGAAATTAGTTGCATACTTATGTTTTTTTGTTAGAAAAAAAAATGTGAATGTAACTTAAAAATTAACTTCCTAAACATCGTGATAAATGCTTTAAAAACACATTCAAATTTGTTTTAAAAAATATTAGTTGCATTTAAAAATAATTTGTATCATTAGGGTGCTCAGTTCGCATGTTATCTATTCATAAGTATAAAATATTAGCAGTCAGGCTCTAAGTTATTGAAAAAAAGTGAAAAAACTACTCCCATAGATTAGGCTTAAAATTGGCAATGGTGCCGCTGGCTTCAACAAAAAAAATTTTGAAAATTAAGTTGCATCTATAAATATTTGAATTTTAACCATGTCTAAGTTCTTTTTTGTATTTTTTTTATCCTGTACATGGCTGTTCTGCAGTTAAGTGATTTAAATTGTAGATGTAAGGATGAAATTATTTTGTACCTAGGTTATTGAATTGCCATTGCTTAATCCTGAATTGTTCCAAAGAGTTGGCATCACCCCACCAAAGGGATGTCTCCTTTACNAATGATTTTTGTTATAGGTATTCTTTTTGATATTCTTGTACATTAAGCTATTCTTTGTCAGATAACTTACAGTACTTGTTTGATATAAAGTAATTTTATAAGCCTAATGGCATTTTAGCATTTTGCTAAAACTTTTTTTCAGATTTTAGCTTTTTTGCTAATGAATTTTTAGACTCAGCTTAAACCCTGTGATAAATGCTTTAAAAACACATTCAAATTTGTTTTAAAAATTATTAGTTGCATTTAAAAATAATTTGTAGCATTAGGGTGCTCAGTTCGCGTGTTATCTATTCATTAGTATAAAATATTAGCAGTCAGGCTCTAAGTTATTGAAAAAAAGTGAAAAAACTACTCCCATAGATTAGGCTTAAAACTGGCAATGGTGCCACTGGAAAATTAAGTTGCATCTAAAAATAATTTTGAAAATTATTTTTGAAAATTAAGTTGCATCTAAAAATATTTGAATTTGTGTCTAAGTTCTTAATTTTGTTTTTTTATCCTGTATGTGGCTATTCTGAAGTTAAGTGATTTAAATTGTAGATGTAAGGATGACATTATTTTGTACCTAGGTTATTGAATTGCCATTGCTTAATCCTGAATTGTTCCAAAGAGTTGGCATCACCCCACCAAAGGGATGTCTCCTTTACGGTCCCCCTGGCACAGGGAAGACTCTCTTAGCAAGAGCTGTAGCCAGTCAGATTGAAGCTAATTTCTTGAAGGTAAGATAGTGCATTTTATTCTTTAGCTGGCTATGTTTCTGTTTCTTTTTTTTTATTATATGTGTATGCATATATATACTGGTGAGTTTCACTTGTGCTTAATTCTGCTTTCCAATTACCATCATTGCTTCATAGCATTAAGTAATTTTATAAATTACAATTTATTCAAACAAAGGATACCAATTTTTTTTATTCGATTGATATAGATTTAGATCCACAAATCATTTTGTTATTCAGAAAATCATTTTGCTGGTTTAACTTTGACCACAGACTTGTTTTTTAAATTATTTGAAAAAGCTTGTGCCAAAGATATTATATGACAATAGTGTGAGATTTATTCTTACTGTGTGGAAATTTGAGTGTTATGATAACATATTAATAATATCAAAATTTGGATAATCATGAGAAAACGGCAAAAAAAAAAAAAAAAAACTGGAAATGGTATAAATTATGTTTTATCAGTTTGATTTATGCTTACACCATACCTTTTTTCTTACTTTTCGTGATTTAAACCTAAAATATCTTTAACTTTTAGACATCCAGCGCTCGAGGTTTTTGAAGTGCACGTAGATTGTAAATTTTTTTATCCAAAGGGCTGTATTTTCCACAAACCCTAAATGGACCTTGATTAAAGCAAGTTGAAACAATAGCGCTTTAGGAATATTTAATTGCTAAGAAGGTTTCTAATAAAACTTAAAACAAGTAGAAGAAACTTAAATTTTTTAAACTAATTGAAAAACAGAAAGAGTTGAAATTTATAATGAATTCTCATTTTTTAAAAAAAATCTTAATGTTCCATTATAGGAAAGTCGAACAAAAAGCCAGAAAATGTCTGAAATAAAAGGAGATGGGTGGAAGAAAATGAAATTTTCAAAATTTAATAGTAGAAAGGGATTGACGTACAGACTAATTTGAAAAACAATAAGAATGAAAATACTAATTTAAATTAAATGGAATGTTCTGTGTGAGTTTTAACCCGCAGTCAGCAAAGATTAAACTGTTGGAAAGAAAAATTGAAGCTGTTTGTTATGTCTTACAAACTAAATATTAACACAGACTACAATATTAAAGCTTAAATTTGCAATACTGAGCAGTATAATGTATTTTTATGTAAATTTTTTAGAAGGAAAATATATTATAATCTGGGATTATACTTTTTCGAATTTTCTAATAACGTCTCTTTATTATGAGAAAAGTTAAAGGAATTTAAAGCTGTTTATGATAATAATTGAAATCTCTCAAATTGCCTTATAGAAAGTTGTAGTGCACATGAAAATAACAATACAAAACTTGATTTTTTTGCCCCTTCAGACATTTTAGATATACAGCAATGCTCAGTCTTTTTAGTATTTTGAGTCCGTAAAAAAAGTAGCTCTTTTTTATGTTGAAAAATGCATTTCAATAATATATATATATATATATATATATATATATANTAATTCATAAGCCCTATAAGCATAGGGCTAATTTTATTAATTTATATAAAGAAATATTAGTAAAAAATATACGAGCAAAATGTCAAAAAGAAAAGGTCATAAAAATTTGTTTAGGGGTCGTAAAATCTTTATCTAGTTACCTAAACATTGTTGCTATGAGGTTTTACTGTATTTAATCTTGTATCGTCCATTATAAACTCCACTTCAATTTTCGATTCAGAGCTCCTTAGAAATTTTTTTTTTCTCAATTTCTCTATGTGATGTGTTACTAACCATATTTTTAGCTATTCTGATATATTGTAGCCAAAAAATGTTTTAAAATGTAGAGCTTTCTTCGCTTGTATCTCTTTTGTTTTTACACTGGGTGGAAAATAGACCCCACATGGAAACAAGTGATGTGCGTTTTTTGACATGAATTGAGAAAGGGATCAATAATGAACTCCTTCCCAATTTGTGTTTTGTTATCTGTCTATTCAACTTTTTTTAGTATGCCTAATGATATTTCTCCTAATTATAAAAAAATGGTTACTAACATATATTAGGCATATTATTTCTTAAAAAATGTTGAAAGGAAATATGAATAAAAAATTGAAGTACGGTCCGCAATCGACGCCACTTTGTGCAAAGGGTAATTTAACATCTGTTTACATAAAATCAATAATTTAAATTTATATCTACCTTTCCTGAAAAATTATGCCTTAATTATTTTGGTTAAAATACTGATTTATTACCATTTTTATTAACATGTAGTAGAAAAATATCAATACCCATAAAATTTTATTAAATAAAGTTGGATCCAATGTGTACTTTTTCTTCGGCATTTACTTAAATGAAAAAGCTTCCTTTCAAGATGATTAAAAGCAGTTTTTAGCAACAAATGTAATATTTGTAAATTGTCTTTCAAATTAAATTATCAGTATTAATTTGTAAATTATCAGTATGATAGAAAAGCTTTTCTTTTGTGTTTTCTTTAGGTTGTGTCAAGTGCAATAGTTGATAAATATATTGGAGAAAGTGCTCGATTGATTAGAGAAATGTTCAACTATGCTAGAGATCACCAGCCTTGTGTAATATTTATGGATGAAATTGATGCTATTGGCAAGTATCCTTCTATGTATTCTTTCCATTTTTAATAAATCTTTCTCTAATGTATGTAGACTATTGCATGTTTTCAATACATACCTGCCAAGTCTCCTGTTTTTCAACAAAGATTCCTGTATTTTACGACTATCATCTGTTTACACGTACATTTTCAAATTTCTCCGTATTCGTTGAAGGAAATTTTAAAAAAAATTGTGCTAAAATATCCACTGATGGCAAAAATTCTTCTCTTATTCCTCAACGGATGGTGCTAATATCAGTACTGCAGTATGTTGAGTGGTGGCTCCGAGGATAGAGCGTTTGCTTCCCAATGAGGTGAACCGGGTTCCAATCCCAGCAATGACTGGTCTATACGAATTCTGCACCCGGCTCACACCGCACACAATGCTGACGTAAAATATTCTCAGTGGTAGACGTATCATGGGTTAGAGTCCCCTTGCCGGAGGTCTTTGTGTTTTACTCTCCATGTAACGCAAATATGGCTTAGTTCCATCGAAAATTCCTCCATGAAGACAAATTTCTCCCAATATTTAATCCAGAAGTTCCCTTGTCTTCCAGGTTGGGTTCAAAATTACAAGGCTATGGAGTTAAACATCAGTCGCAAACCCTAAATTGGGTTGGCTGTTCAACGATGGTTATAAAATAAAATAAGTTAAGTAATTTTAAATAATGCTTTTAAAAAAAGTCTTCTTTAGATTGTTGGTTTTTGTTTTGATTTATATGCATTTTTTTACTTCTCTAAATGTAAGTTCTTATATTATTTCCAATTTTGAATGTCTCTTTTTGATTATGAATGATGAATCAAAACTTTACTCGTTGCTTAAAAAATGTTGCTAGTAAAATCTCTGTTATCTTATTTTTCCAATGTTGGCAGGTATGGAAATAATTTTCCAAACTTGACATGTAAAACTGTATAAGTTATATTTTTATTTTTATATGCTCCTTGTAACTAAGAGGATTATGTCCCCCCCCCCATCCCTTTCAAAAATAGTACAATTTATCCAAATTCATAACTGCTGGTTGCAGCCAAAGGAGGAAGTGTAGTTTTTATACTCTGTCAATATTTTGTGTGATAAAGGTTTTGTTAGTTTTAAAATTATTGTGAAACAAACAATGAATTTGAAACAAACCATGAACTTTTACATATTTTCTAATTTGCAATAACTCGTATGAGAATTTTAGCAATTTTCTACTCCTTTGAAGTAGCAATCAAACTTTAGGAAATAATTTATAAACATATTTGAGAATAAACACTTACAGAAATATTACTTAATATAATTATAATTAATTAAAATAAATTAATAATTATTAAACTGTTATGTCTCTATTACTTTAAGTTATTTCTTGTATATCTTTAACAAAAGTATCTTGCAGTAATCAGAAAAAATTCTGCCACAGGGTTAATAATTGTATTGTAAGTTTAAGAGTTTGTGGGTTCGATCCCTGCCGGCCGAAGACTCCCGGCTTAGTAAATGGTGACTGATGCACGTTAAATCTGTCAAGTCACAAAGTCCTCTATGTTTCCTGGTCTTCTGGATTGGTTCAAAATTACAAGACTACGAGTTGAACATTTGTAGTCGTAAACCCGAAATTGGGGAGGCTGTTCAAGAACAGATATATATATGTATAAAAAAATATGATAGAACATTAAATAAAATCTAATTTTTTTTTTTTTTNCTCCTTGTAACTAAGAGGATTATGTCCCCCCCCCCCATCCCTTTCAAAAATAGTACAATTTATCCAAATTCATAACTGCTGGTTGCAGCCAAAGGAGGAAGTGTAGTTTTTATACTCTGTCAATATTTTGTGTGATAAAGGTTTTGTTAGTTTTAAAATTATTGTGAAACAAACAATGAATTTGAAACAAACCATGAACTTTTACATATTTTCTAATTTGCAATAACTCGTATGAGAATTTTAGCAATTTTCTACTCCTTTGAAGTAGCAATCAAACTTTAGGAAATAATTTATAAACAGATTTGAGAATAAACACTTACAGAAATATTACTTAATATAATTATAATTAATTAAAATAAATTAATAATTATTAAACTGTTATGTCTCTATTACTTTAAATTATTTCTTGTATATCTTTAATAAAAGTATCTTGCAGTAATCAGAAAAAATTCTGCCACAGGGTTAATAATATTTGTATTGTAAGTTTAAGAGTTTGTGTGTTCGATCCCTGCCGGCCGAAGACTCCCCACGTAGTAAAAGGTGACTGATGCACGTTAAATCTGTCAAGTCACAAAGTCCTCTATGTTTCCTGGTCTTCTGAATTGGTTCAAAATTACAAGACTACGAGTTGAACATTAGTAGGCGTAAACCCAAAATTGGGGAGGCTGTTCAATGACATATATATATATGTATAAAAAAATATGATAGAACATTAAATAAAATCTAAATTTTTTTTTTTTTAACATAAGAAAATTTCCTAGCTAAAATTACTCTTTCTTTAAAAAAAATTATACATGAAACAAATGTATTTTTAAATTCTGTAAAATAATAGTTTTTTGTATAAAAATATTTTATTTATAAAATGCAAAATTTGGCAAAAACAATTTTTTTGATAAATTTCTTATCTCAATTTTATATAAATATATTGTTTATACAAATTGTATATTATACTACTTATGTATCATAATTATATTGTTAAAGCTTCAATGAAAGTAAAATATCTTTCTCACTTAAAGAATTTTTGATCTTTTTTGAAATTTTACTTTTAATTACTTTAAAATTTATTTTGGCTGATTTAAATTGATATTCATGATCTATTTGTTTTTCAACATTCCTTTCTTTTTTTTAAATCCTCCTATTTTCTGAAAATTTTGGCAGCTGTCCCTGAAAATGGTATTTAACAAAATGGTAGCAAATACATGCAAAAAAAAAAAAAAAAAACTAAATCTATTTTAAGATTTAAATCTATACAAATGAACAGAATGAATTATTACTATTTTCATGTTGCTGAATAACTGGACTATTTTTGTTTTTATGTGATTTCCTTATCCAATAAGACTTGTGACTGAACTAGCATATAAATCGTTGTGGTATAATTTATTTTTTATATTGTATGACTTTTCAGGTGGGCGAAGATTTTCTGAAGGCACTTCTGCCGATAGAGAAATTCAAAGAACTTTAATGGAAGTAAGTTATAAGTTTTGATATCAAACAATTAACCAGAGATTTAAAATTGCAATAATATTTTTGTATCTCTAGTAGAGCAATCAACAGAACTTAAGATAATCTAGCTGTTTTGATCTATTTGTTTTTGTCTTACTAATCTAACCAGCTATCCAATACAAGAGCAAAATTTTTAACTAATTCAAAGTATGAACTAAATTTTATCAACAAAACTAAAAATATAGTGTTTTGGTTTAACGAAGTTTATTTTGTTTAGTATTATTGTTTTATTTATTGTATTTTAATTATTTATATTCTTCTCCGCTTTGCAAATTCCTCTACACTATCTTTCAGAATAAACAATGCTTAGTTATTTGGTAACAGAAGTGGTAGGGCCATAGTTTAAAAGACAAGTTTCTATTCATATAGATAAATCTTTCTTCACACTGTGGTTTAATGAAACTACAAATACTGCAGACACGGCGACGTTGTCGTAGAACGTTACATAATTTTCGCAGAAGGATTTTTCATTTTGGAAGGGAAAAATTTTTCGAAAAAAAAATTTCTGCTCAATTTTTTTTTAAGATGTCTTTCTTGCGCATCAGAGAGGAAAGAAATAATCATGATTTTTCTATTCTCATTTGAGATTTTTAAAAAAAAGTCAGTAATGACTGACTTCAGCTAGAGTTTCAAATTAAGAATATAAAATAAAAATTCAGAAATCGCAAGAGTTTAAAAGATAGTTCGTTCTAGAAATGGTGTTCTTTCTTTTACTTTTGTTTTCTTTAAAGAAAACCATATTTTACATTCACTAATTGTCCTATTCGCTTGATTCGGGATCTTTATTTTGGGAGTTAACTGCACGGATTTTTTGACTTTTAAGTTATGTACAATTTTTTTATTTATTTACGAATTTTAATTTGTGTAATGATTTACAAAACTCAAAAGAGGAAATCATTAGTGCATTTCTCCGCTTACAAAATGGGAGAATATTGCCTGTAATATTGAAATTTAAAAAAATTTCATTTTACAATTAAAAATTTTTATTTTATACTTTTTTCTGTAAACAGAACGTTTCTGTTACTTTAAATTAGTAATTGTTATAGTTAAAAGTATCTTTAAAGCAAAATATCAGTGCATTAACTGTCATTTGCATTATCACCTTTTATGAAAATAGTTTGTGTGTGCTATGTCCTTTCTCTACAGAATACTATTATGCTTGCAATTTTTATAATTTATGTGGCTGTGCAAATATGAAAACTTTTTTTTTCTTCTTTTGCTGTTGTTGGACTACTCTTCCCTACTACAAACCCCTAACAATGCTACAATGAGAAAGTCACCTGCTTTGACTTACCGTAGAAAACTTAATTTTAAGGTTAAATTCTAATAAAAAGGAACTTCGAAAAAAAGGAAATTATATTATCTTATTTTATCTTCATTTTGAGTAGAATTCTTTTTAGAATCTTTTGAGTTTTCATTTTTGGTTTAAAAACTGCTGAAACTCCTAGAAGACATTTTTTTTTTGATTTCTTTGAATTCAACATTTATTCCAAGGTCAAATTTTTGCACAAGTAACTTTTTTTGAATAGATTTTTTATTTTGCTCTCTAACTTTTTAAAAAAATTTGCTCATAATCCATCTCCCCCCTAGTTACTGTTGTTTTTATAAGAACTCCCCTAGCCATTCGTAAGACTATGGTAACGACTATGGCCTAGACCAGGGATGGGCAAACTTTTTTGGTCGAGGGCCAAAAATCAAGAAAAAAAATGTTTGGCAATCCAAGTAAAAACTTCAAAATTTAGAAAAAATAAAAAAGTGATTTACAAGTTTTAATTTAAATATTTAGTGAGATGGAGGAAATTGCGATTTCATTTTTAAAAGCTCCTTATTTTAAGGTTCAAAGCGAGATGTGCTTATTTTAAGGAACAAGGCTTAATGCTTTTCTGTTAGTCTACTTCTGAAATGATTTTTTCTAAGGTTCATCCTAAACAATGGTGAAATGATTTTTCTAAGGTTGAAAACTCTTGTTCACATTTATAAGATTAAGCAAACATAACACTGATTTTCTGGGCATGAAATATTAAATTTTGGAAACTAGCTTTTGATAATGATTTGTAAAACTTTGGCATATTTAAAACAACTACTTCAGATGATTGTTAGATTGTCCGCTCTTTGGAGCAAAAAATGCGCAGTCTGCGAAATGTGAAATATAATTTACCTATATTAGATTCCATAAGTCAGCTCCTCGTGAAAGACAAGCGCTAGTTGGAGCCAGTCTACGGCCGTTCTATAAAGAACTTCTGCTTTCAACATTTTACCAATTGAAGTTGTCTGTGCTAACTATTTCCATCAATTTATGTTTTGTAGAACAAAATTAGAGAAAGTAAAAATGTCATCAGTACTTTGTTAAAAATGGAAAACAGAAATAATTTTAAACATAGTCGACAAGAAAATGGATGTATATTGTTTATATTTGCCACTGATCGAGAAATAAAAATTCTATCCGCGGGCCGAATAAAATCTTACGGCGGGCCAAGAGAAGCTACCCTCCCTGAAAAGTGCTATTCTTGTTTCCATAGCAGCAGGCAACCTCAGACTTTGTGACGAGGGAAGTTCTTACCATATATAAACTATAGGTGCTTACGTGAAATTTAAATGTATGAAATATCAATGACTGATGTGTTAAGAAACCAATTGTTTTCATTTGCAGCTATTAAATCAGATGGATGGCTTTGACTCTCTTGGTCAAGTGAAAATAATTATGGCAACAAACAGACCAGATACTTTAGATCCAGCACTTCTGCGTCCTGGAAGACTTGACAGAAAAATTGGTAATTTCTTATCTAAAACAAATATTGTGGTTAATAATTATAGCCTTTTACGAAATTTTGTTGTTTGTAGCAAGTCTGATGTAATTTTTTTTTCTACTGCTTAAACAATTCTAAAAGCAATAAATGAAGAATAAAAATTTTATGGTAGAAACTGGAAGTAAAAGTATAGAGAATTCCTTTTTTCAAATTTCTCTCCCAAATCGTCTAATTGAAATTTTTTTAAACAAATTTTAGGATCAGGGGCTGAAATTTCTCCTTGCAGTCTCTGTCCAAATTTTAGGTTGATATAACAAATATTTTTAGAGTTATGAGAAGGAGAGAGATTGACACACTGGCAAACTCTTGATTTTTTTTATAGAAATTTTTCATGATAATATAGTCAAATATAATTGCTAATAAATTAATTTTACAAATTTTAGACAGCTGAATTATAGATGGCTTCCAATTGTTTTCCAGCTATTTCTAATTGAGTCAACAAAATGTTAAAAAAGGAAAAAAGTTCATTTATGGAAATAAAATGTCGTGATTTAAGTTCATTATGTTCAATTGTTGTTTTAGATGTTTTATCCTCTAATGTAAAAAGTTTCTTTTCTTTTCAATTTTTATAGATTTTTTCTTCTTCAAAAGTTTTAAAAAGTATTAATCAAATAATCATATTAACTGCATAAAAATAGTACCTAGTAAATAATCTTAATATTTATTTATCAATTTTTGTAATTTAATTTAAAAATAATAAAATATCTACAATTTTTCATAAAAATGTTTTCCAAATTTTTTTCATGTTAAACCAATGTCTAAACTTTAGTAAAGTATAACATAATTCAAAATGTGGAAAAAATAGAATAATTAGTTTTCGAGAAATAAAAATTTAAATATATGACTTTTTATTTCTTAGAAACTATTCAACAGATTTGAAATTGTTCAAATTTTAAATGTTAATTTTTAAAATTGCATAGTTTACATAACTTATTTATTAAAAAAATTATTATCAACAAATTTTTTTTTCATCATTATTAAATTTAATTATAAAAATAGTAAATAAATACCATATTTTGTTTGATAATCTTTAACTTAAATAAAGGATTAAATTTAAAAAAAATAAGTGTTTAAATCATAAATCTTTAAATAAATGATTTTACTAATTTAGTATCAAACGTTTATGATTTGCACAATTATTTTCAGGCTTTTAGTAAAAAACACACATGTATGACAAAATGACATGAACATTTTAAAAAAAAAATATTTTTTCATACCTGGCTGTAAAATTAATAACTTCATTAATTTTTAAGAACTAGAACTGTTGTCTCACAAAAATGTTGCACTATAGTTAAAAGCATAAGTTACTGATCATTTTATGCACAGTTTTAAGTTTATATTCACATTTTATAGAAATTAGAGTTTAAATTTCTGTAAAATATGTGTATTTTAAAATAAATAAGAGATTCTAACATTTTTTTCAAACTGAATATTTATTTCTATCAATTGCTGTATTGTAAACTGCAGAAATGATTTAATTTTTTTTAATAAAGAGAAATGCTTTTAGAAATACTAATACCAAGTAATTTTTATTTCAGAAATTCCCTTACCTAATGAGCAAGCACGGCTTGAAATTTGTAAGATACACGCTGCTCCAATAACTAAACATGGAGAAATAGGTAAAAATAGAAGATCAAATGAGAGGTTTCTATAAAAATTTGTATTTTTCTTTATTATTGACTCTTGCTTCTCTTTGTATTTTTAGACTGGGAGGCAGTTGTTAAGCTCTCTGATGGTTTCAATGGTGCTGATTTGAGAAACGTCTGCACAGAAGCTGGTAAGTGCACGCTGTTAGATTTGATTTTTGGTTGATCACATACTACTATGGAGGTCACCATGGTTGACAGCTATGTATTAGTCCTTTTTTTATCTTTAGATAATACAGTTACCTCTCACTTATGCACCACCTCTTTTATGCACCTTTTTCATTTATACAAAAAATTTTATGGGTCCCAGTACATAAGGTAGGAAAATAATGATAATCATCCTTCGTTTATGCGTTGCTCTAAAAATAAATTTTTCAATTATGCACCAAAATTTTAGGCTAACATTTTAATTTTCTTCTTTTTTAAAAAAAAAAAAAAGGTTTCAGATTAAAAGTTGAAACAAATAAGCAATCCTTGTTACAGATAAATATGTTGTTAGATCCTATTGAATAGTTCACTTTTGTTTTTCCTGTAACCTTCTAATTTTTGCTGTTTCTATAAAGACATTCTTTCCACAACTTTGAATAGGGTGTCTTATCTGTTACACCAACAACAATGAAAGCCCATTCATTTTTGAGAAAATAACCCTTCCTCTTGCCCCAGAGGTTAATTTTACTCCCATGTGCTGTTTCCTAGAAAAGGAGAAAAAAAAGACACATGGAGAACAAAAGATGAACACTTTTTTACAGTCAGATGGACATCTTGGAGGTGGTCTGCTCCTTTATTCAGACCATCCTGGAGGTTATCTGAATAGAAGGAGGTGGTCTATTTAGTGAAAGTAGCAATCAAACAACCTATTGTGCTGCATATTATGAAGTCAAGTACTTTCCTTAAAAATTACAATTTAATTCTGCTTCTGAAACTCCCTTATCCCATTTACATAAACTGGAAAAAATTGCTTTTGAAATACGTCTGCAAAAACAAATAAAAACATGTATTAAGGATTATTTTGTAAGAAATTTAAATTGTCTTTAGGTATGTTAAATTTTTTCTTTGTATAATTATAGTAAATACCAAAACAGTATAAATATATACATTTAATCTTCAGAAACATATTTATTAGACATACATATATATTCAGAAACATATATATCCCATATTGTCACTGCAATTTACGTTGCATTTAGAATTTTGAAATTTTTCACTTATGCGCTTTTTTCTGTTGGCCCCTTACAACGGTACATAAATGAGAGTTCACTGTAAAGCACAAATATTTTGCTTTCAGTGTATCACACCCCCCAAAAAGACTATCTTTGAATTATCTAAAATAGACTGAGGAGTGAATTTAGATTGTTATACCTTATACCAAAATCTTCTATAAAGATATTTTCTTAAAAGAAAAGTACCATTAACTTTGAAAAACTGGATGAAGAGTAGCAATATAAAAGTCTGAAATTTCTGCTCATCTAGAAAGTCCTTCATAATTTTCAATAAAAGTTGCTCATAAGTCATAATATACTCAAATCTTACAAACCACACTACACATGTAACAGATCGAAGATTGATATTTTTATTGGTTCAATATGCTTGGATTATAGATTTTGAGCAGCTCGTTTAAACAATTTACCAAAATTAAGAGAAGAATCATTCATTTGAATTTAGTTACAAACAACCAATCAAGGCAGGTACTAGATTGAGGAGGTTGGTGCTTATAAAATGTTACAAATTTAAGTGAATACAGAATACTGCAAATCTTTTTCCTGAAGCTGTTTATTTAGACAAAAATATACTTTGTTTGCTTCAATATACTTTTCCAAACAAGATTTCAATGAAGTCTTAAAGAGTTTCTGGTCTTTAGAAACTCTGATATAGAATTAATGATTTTCATTGTGTTCAGCCTATAAAAATTATTCAAAATGTTTAAAAAAAAAAAAAGAAAGTTGGTTGGTAAAAGATCTGGCTAATAAATGGATTTTTTAAACTATCACTGGACTGATAAAAAATCAACCTTAGTTGATCAACCAATCTTATGTACAGTGCGCCTTAAAAAGAAAAGAGGGGGAGAGGACGAAGCAGGATAACTTTTGATCTAATGATTGGATTTTGACGTTCTAGAACTTGATCTTAATGGTTTAAGGTAATGTCCTTAAATATGGTCATTGATTGCAGGCACAAAAACGTACTTATAAACATAACTTTTTTTCAACCTATTTGGATTTTCAAGCCTCAAAATATAGGAGGTAGCCGCAATTTGGGAAATATGGTTAGGAGAGTGATCCAAAACTTGGACACATATTGCGTATTGTGCCATACCTCAAGAAATTTTTAAGTGAATTAAAAAAAAATATTGCATAAAATTATAAAACTTATTTATCCGAAGATAATTCCATGCAAAAAATAAATTATCATGAATATTTATTATTTTATTTAATAATTGTCGAAAACATTTTGCATTGTAAGGTATACAATTTTTTAAGTATGTAATTTTACAAGGCAAAATACAAAATTTGAGCGAAATCTGTCTTCTAAAAATTCATAAAAAACCCTATTTTTTTTCCTTCAATTTTCATAAATATGGGTCTTTAATGTTAAGAAAACACTACTTCATTTTTGAACTTAATTCTAAATGACAACAAATATTTCCCACAGTAAGCTACTGGTTACTATTAGTTATCTTAGATGCATCATAAATAACTGTCCGTTATATCTACCAACTGTTATGTATTAATTACAATAGTTATTAAACATTATAGTATTTTACAAAAAATTGTTAATTACAAGTAAAACTTTTTAATATATTTTATAATATAGACTGACAAACAAACAAAAAAAAAATTAACCTAAATATTTTTTGATTGAATTTTCATGAGCTAAGAACCAATTATTGAAAAAGAGTTGTTCTGAATAATGCTAATTTAAGTGTAGGCGACCCTTTTAGTTGAGAGAGGCCTTAATGAAACTGCCTATGATCCTGTAGCGTTCAAAGGGGTACAAAAGAGCTCATTTCAGTTGCACTTACTCTGTATCAACATGCCTTATTATTAATATTAAAATAGGGGAGGCATCCAGTATCTCAAAAATATGGTTCCAGTCATTAGGTCTAGAGAGTGGTCAAAAGTTTTGAGTCCTTTATTGTTTATTTCACAATATCTCGGTTTTCTTTAATGAATCGAAGCATTTTTAAACGAAATTAAACAATTAGTCAGCCTGAACATAGCTCTCTGTAAACAAACAGATTTTAATTGTTTTTTTCTTAAGTATTGAAAATTTTTGCTTCATTTTTAACTGAAGGATAACTGTTAATTTTAAATAATAAAATCTGAAAAAAATTGGTCAAACAGCAATTTTTTCTAAAATTTTATAACTTGGAATCTATTCAATCAACTTGACTCAAATTTTGTATTTTTTCATTTAAAAATGCATAGCTTAAAACTGAATAAAAATATGCTTATCTTAAAATTGTAATATTTTTTTTATAACTCCTATGAAATAATTAGTAGAAGTTATTTTTTAACATAGAATAATTTCTGAATAAAATTCTTTCTTAATTATTTAAAAAAAAAAAATTTCTATGTGCTTTGTTAGTTTCTGAGACAGGGCAAAATATTTATAAGTGATCCAAACTTTTGACCATTCTCCTGGCTAACCTATTGGGCCATATTTTACAGATTATCACTAACTCCCCTATCTTGAGATCCAAATCAGTCTAAAAAAATCATGTTTATTCAGAAAAAGCAATAATAAAAATTAATCAGCATTAAAGGTCATTTCTTTGAAGCATTAAGATTGTTCGTGAAAATTCGATAAGGTTATTTAGAGTGAGATTTTCCACACTAAACTTACATAAGGCTGAAATGAAAAATTATTGTTCATGGCCAACCAACAGATATTTTTATTAAATACTAATCATTTATAAGAAGAAGAAAAAAAAACACACCACCCATATTAGTTCATATTTTCTGATCCCTTTCCTAACCTACTTGACTGCCCAGTATTTTTTATATAGCAAATAAGTTTTAAACGTAATTTTTTGTTTTATTTAATAATGACATTTGCTTTTTTGCAGGTATGTTTGCAATTCGAGCTGATCGAGAATTCGTAGTGGAAGAAGATTTCATGAAAGCTGTTCGCAAGGTTGCTGACAATAAAAAGCTGGAATCTAAATTGGATTATAAACCTGTTTAAAATAAACCAGGGTTTGAAAAAACCCAACCCGCCTGGGTTTTATTAAAAAAAACTGTTTTTTCATTTAGTACTCATAAATTTTACTGTGAAAATATTTTTATTTATTAAATAGTGTTGTATAAGTAAACACTAAAATTTCATCCGACTTATACCTGTAATAAAATTAAACTGGAATAAATATTTGTCTTCCCTGTTTTTATAATACAATTAATAGAAAGTGAAATTAAAATTACGTATAATTATGAAAAGTATCAGTTACTACCCTTTTTTCAAATTTTTAGATACATTTTAACTTTATAGTTTCAAATAACAAATTAATCTTAAAATTATAAAAAAACATATATGAAAAGCTATAGCTTATTTTTTTTAAAATCAGAAGAAAAAACTTTCAATTTGTTTATTGTTGTTTAATGTATCACTTAATAGAAATTTTTTTAAGCATGATCAAAAGAAACAAAATAATATTTTAATGTTGAACTGTTTTTTAATTGTGATAAACTTTCTCCAAATAGTTAAAAATTGTCAGCAGATCTTAAGAGTTAACTTTTAAAAAAAAAGGTCAATTTTTTCCTTTATTATTATTATCATACAACAGATTCAAAGTGTCTACATTTCTCTCTTAGATGGTGATACACTTTTACGAGTTTTGAAACTTTATCTATTCCTAATCTATTTCGAAGTTTACTCTGCACCAAACCGAAAGTTGAAAAGTGTCTTTCGATAGAGACAGAGGATGCTGAGTGCAAAGAAAAAAGAATTGACAGAAATTTTGTGGAAGCTAGGAATTTTATTTATTTACTTTTTTTTTGCCATAATTTTCCACTATTTTTTGATGAAAACTGTTAAATAACAGTGTCAAGCATCATTGATTTTGGAAAGTATTCAGGATCGGAAATTTTGAATGCCATAACAGGTGGCAAAAATTGTGGATGATGCTTAGAAAGACAGTTTTCTGCCAATTGGTCTTGTTCATCATTTAAAAATTGTCCCTATGCTTCTGGAACCAAGATGCACATGCTAATAAATGATGTGGCTGAACAGCCTGATTGAATCTTTTTATAAAATGTTTATGGGGTTCTAATTCATCACACGATAGTAAGTTAATTCATATTTCAACAGCTTCTGAAACAATTGATAGTATATTTGTAAAGCCCAACATTTAATATTTCTGACTTATTATTAGATTCATTTTGATGTTCAAGAACGATTTCTTCATATTTATGGTAATTATTGGCAAAAGTTTTTACGCGCTCACAATATGGATTCCACCTAGTATCATATGGTCATCAAGCAGTCTTTTTCATTTGCCCATCCATGTGCTTGATGCACATTTCTAAAATATTTGCTAACTTCAACGATGTGTCCAATGATAGTATTAGGAGATACTTCTTTTTGAACCAAATTAAAAAGAAAACAATGTGAAAAAAACCACCAAGTGGGTTTTTTCAAAGTGGGCCCATTTGGGGAACCCTGGTTATATGTATTTTAAATTAAGTTTAAATAACGCATTATCACTAATACATATTTGAATCTTTATTGTTAAGCACATTAAGTTTCATAATTTTTTAACTCAAGAATTATAAAATATAAATGCAGTAATATAAAAGGAACAAGTTTATTAATCTTTTTGTTTTCACACACATTTATTTACTACATTTATTAAACATATGGATATTACCTATTATAAAATTATCTGTAAATATTTATAATCAGTAAAAACTAAAATTTCATCTGACTTGAGTTAAATAAAAAACTGAAATAAATATTTAATGGTCTTACATGTTTTTATAATACAATTTATAAAGTGTATCAGTTACTTGTCCTATTTGTTTTCAAATAATTAACCCTAGGAAAATGATTTTATTTTTAGATAAATAATTTTAAAAAGTTTTAGCTTTTTTTTTATAGCCAGAAAATAAAACTGGTATCACTTGGTAAAAAAAGAAAAAAATTGTTTCTTTTCAATTTTTTTAAACATATGAATTAATATATAAACCATGCAACTATATTTGAAAAATTGATCTTTTCAGACTATATTATTTAAATTTTTATTTGATTTAATATCATTAAAATATTACTGTTTGAAAAAACCCACTTAAAGTTTTCAATAGTACCTACTATAAAATTATATGAAGATTCGAGTTACTTTTACTTTACTAATATTAAAAACTTAATCATATTAATCATGCTGCACAATTAATTATATAAAAGTAAATGCAAAACAATAAGTTTTAGTAAAAAAAATTTTTTGTTTGTTGAAAGTGGGCCTACTTGGCGAACCCTGAAAGAGATAGTATTTAAAAATGAATGAACATGAGTTTTATTTTTTGCTTTAAATAAATAAATACAAAAATGTTTACACTATCATTTCTAACTCTCTTGCATAATCTATAACTTGAGTAGCCAGTTCAAAAGCAGGTATTGTGTCATCAGAATGTGTCTTGTCGTCCCTATTGTCATAGGTGTAATAGTCACCACCAGATGAAGACCAGCCTCTCTGTTAATATAAAAGCACATATAATAATTACATGGGAAAGAATTTTGCACTTTGCTGCAATATTAGAAATCTGTTGTACCACAATAAAACAAACAGGATATCCAGCAATTATCAGGGAATATCTCAAAAATCTCAGTAAAACTGGGAGCAAGCAATCGCCACTGCTTTTTTATAGATATAGTAAAAAATGACTTTTTTAGAAGAATAAAATGCAATGTTAATTATTTTAAATTACATCAAAATTAAAATATTTTTTGTTATATTGTTTTATTTTGGGCATGCGGTCTCCCTCTTTATAGTAGTAAATATAATATTTTCAAACAGTTTGGGCACTATTACTACAACCTGTAGCAAAAACTTTTAATAAATTTGCGTGTTCTGCCACACTATAAAAGTAATTTTAATCTTTTCCCTTAAAATATTATTCTTGATTAAAATAAATACCAATGATACGAAATAACATTTTTCAAAAATATTTCTTAACAAATATCGCTAACTTCAATCGATTAAACCATTTTTTTTTATTATGAGACTCTGTATTATAAAGCAAATTTTTAAAGAAGACTTCACAAAATTAAATTTTGAATAATTTAATTAAAAGATATAATTTATTTTAAAACTATATCTTTTTTTAAAAAAATCATACATAATTTAATTTTGAGGTGAATTCTCAAAACTTCTAATTAATAATCCAAAAACGATAACCTTATTTGAAAAAAAACTAAAGAGGAAAGTCTGTCCATCCTCATATAAAGGATAAAAATGTTTTGTTAGAAAATCTAGTAAATAAAAAGTGTATTGTTGTATGGATTTAGAATTAAAATATTTAATTCTTTTTGTTGTAAGTAGTACTCTACTGATATTACTTTCAATCAGAATCTAAATATCTCCCACATTTTTATTATATCCAACACTATTTTGTAGTTCCATAGCTTTAAAAGTGTTTGGGCTTCTCAAATATAGGTATCATAGTGATAAAATTGAATTTACTTTAAAGAAAAGTAACACTAAGATACTAAATAATTGTACAAAACTGTTCATTACAAAATTAAATTGATTAAATGAGAGAGTGCCTTTATTGGCTGTCACCCACCCTGCATTTTGAACCACTAAAAATATTTGCTCACAACATTTCAGATTTGAGTAATGCTTTTCTATATGGAGCATTCAGAATAGCTTGTTGCAAAAGGGGATAAATGAGATGGGTGTTCAATTTTTTTTTTATTTCTTCTTTCTATTTAATGATTTTTGTTCCTTCTTAAAAGGGTATTAAAAAACAATCGTAGATTAGTTGCAAACTATAAAATCTCAATTTAATCACAATCTAGACTATGAAATTGTAATAGTTTGCAACCTCTGAGAATAGCTTTAAAACTATAGTAATTGGTAAATAAAAATAAAAGAAATTAAAAGTACCTTTTTTGCATATTCAGCCATGTCCTTTTTATTCTTGAAGAAAAGCATTCTGCCAGCTTCATTTAAAGCCAACTTTTCATATGCTTTTTCGATGCAGGCGGCAATTTCATTCCGGACAGTATCCAACAATATGTTGATGAAGAAGTTATAGCTCTCAGCTGGTACATTTCCTCCTGACAGAAACACCTGCAAAACATACACACTCTTTAAGATTGGATAATAACTCTATGCAAACTAACTATTTAAAAAGATGCTAAAATAATTTAAAAAGTGTTAGTATGCAACCCAGTGGCAGAACTGACAGAGTTCTTGTAGAAAGATTTTTCTTTTGGGAAGTAAAAATTTTGGTTTGCTTTTCACGCAGAATCTGAATCAACCAGTTAAATAATCACTTTTTGGAGCACTCAATTTATGTCGATATCGTAAATCCATGGTGATTGTATTTTCGACAGTTATTGACATTGATTTTTACACGATTTTTAGATATCCGAATATATTTAAGAAATATGGGAAATTCGAATTGCGCATTTGATCATTTACTTCTTAAAACAATCATTGCTTTTGATTTCCACATAGTTTTTAAAGCCCGATATTTTTTCTTACAACAATTAAATCTTGAAATGAAACATTGCATTTAAGTAACACCTTTCTGAAGAGTACAATTTGTGTGAACAGATGTCACGATATTTAATTTTTTTAATGTGATGATGATTTGCAAAATGTGATAAAGGAAATTAGTGCGCCCCCTCAAGAAAATGCGAGAATATCACCCATAATACTAGAATTAAAAAATATATTGCATATTCAATTAAAAAATATGTTTTTTTTTTCGTCTTTGTAAACACAGTTTTTTTGTTACCTTTAGTAACATACATCTTTTTTATTATTGAAAGTATATTGCAGGAAGATATTAGTGCTATAGAGTTTTGTCACAGAAAATCCGAAAACATTCAGCCATTGGGGTGTGCAATAGACAAACACCAGTGTGTCAAATTTTTGTTTTAACACTGTGATTCATGCACTTGTACTAATAACAACTTGTACTAATAAAAAACATTCAAATATCAAAATTTCAGACACAAGCAGGTTGAAATGCATCAGCTAAAATAATTATGTTTCTAAAAAATTCATTTGTAAATTTCAAGATAAAACTTCAAGCCAAAATCACATTATCATTAACCTTTCTTTGTAGGCTGTGATAACAGTTGTCATACCATTAGTTTGTGTCATCTGAGGAGCTTGTGACAATTTCAACCTAAGAATTGAAGTGATAAAGTTAGACTGTTGTATTTTTGCTAATTTTTTCATATGGATAATAACAAAAACGGTTTTGAAAATATATTTGGATTTTTTAAAAGTGTTACTTTTTTTGATGTCAAAATTATAAAGAAACAAAAATCAGGGTGTGTAGTCATATCTTTCAACAAAAAATAAACACCTTTAAAGTACTTTTTAAGCACTATATACATTAACAAGATTTAAAATAGTTTTCAAAGACTTTACATGATCATGATAAAATAACTATAACTAGTTTCTGACAAAGAATTCTTTTCTTGATTGTATTAGCCTCGAAAAAAAGATTGAGATTTTTCGGTTCAATTTCAGAGGGTGGAAAATGAAATCTGAAATTGAGAATATCTTGCAAAATGCAGCAGAGTTGCACATGAGACTGCAAAAATCTCACCGAACCCAGCTAAGTAAAAGCACATACGGACTCCCAAGCATTTAATCGAACAGGTAACATGATTGGGGTGCTATCATACGTTGCGGGCCGACAGTATGCCGAAATGGATTGTGGTTGAATGATTTGTGGAAACGTTGAATAGAACAAAGTGAAAACCCCGCTTTTGCATAGTACGCAGCGAAAACCGATGCAGTAAAGAAAAAAATCTCATTTTCGAAAAGGAAAAATAAAGCACTTTTTAAAAACACCACATGAAAAAAAGCACCTTTTAAAAAAGAAAATAAAAAATAAGCACTTTAAAAAAACGCTACGTACCATGAAAATCATACTGAAACGATTGTGGTCAAATCTATGTAAATGGAAAAAATTAAACTAAACTCAGTGGTGCGACAGCTCATAGAGGGCCAAGGGCTACCGTGCCCATCCCAGTTTTCTTGACCTTGGGGGTTCTGGGGTGTAGGAGCAGATGTTCCGGTCAGCCGAATGCGGAACCCCCAGTGTTTAGTTCCCAAGCATGCTTGGTACTCATTTATCGACCCACTGAAGGGATGAAAGGCTGAGTCAACCTTGCCCAGCCCGAGGATCGAATCAAGGGAGAAAATTAGAGGAAAGAAATATTCTAATCAAGAATTTCCTTCCCAGCTATAAATAAGAGAATAGAATTAAATTATCCATTAAAAGTACATGTTTGGGTCTAGTGACTTATAAGACATGTTAGCAGGATTTTTACATTTTACATACATATCTAATTTACACAGTAAAGCGCAATGAAAAATTTTACTTTGTTATAGCTGCCCTCCATTAGGTATTGTTCCATTGATACGGGATGCCTGATGTATGCATTTGACTGAATTTCTTTAGCAGGTAGAAGCTCCAGTTCCTTTAAAGAGGAATGACACATCAGCACTTATAAATACATATTTTTTTTAAAACTTTAAATTGAACATTTAAAGTTTTAAAATAATCTATCAAATTTACTTTACAAATATAATAGTCACAAATTATATAACACAAAGTTATAATGGCATTTTTAAGGGAAATATGGGTACTTTTCGGTTAGCCTGGCACAAGAAAATTCAACTAAATTTTTATTGCTTTTAGTTTTTTCACTTTTTTTTATTTTTTAAAATTTCTTTGTGAATGTCCAGTTTCTATCACCATCAAAAAGAATAAATGAAGTAAAAAAATAAATAATAGTAACAAAAAACAGAGGTCTAAATTGTTTCTTAATTGCTAATTTTTTCATATTTAAATCGATATACAAAATCAGAAAAAATTACGATGCAAAAAAAGTTTTGTACAATGCCATATAACTATAACATCATTGGTAATTTTATGATTCAAATGTAATTTTATAAGCTCACACGACTGCCACCATTATATATTCTGCAGTAATTATAGAATATTGTATAGTATTGTATTATAAAATTTATGATTATTTGAATAGATCAAAAGATACTTACAGTATGAAATTCAGCAACTCTGTTTTGAGCTAACAAGCAAAGCAAATTCAGACCAAGGAGTTGATATTTTGATGCAGATTCAGGCAAATCATTCCTTTATAAAAATATAACATTCTTAACTTATGCATAAGAATTTAACAACAAATTTAAAATGATGTTCATATAACAGTAAATTATCCGAAAATTTTAATTAGTACAAATTAAGGCTGGAGATGCAAAAAATATTCAAGTAGTCTACTGAATGCTTTAGTTCAGTTTTGTCTTAATAATTATAACATAATCATATATATAAAAAAATTAAGGTATTAATTTATATATATCATTCATACTGTCATTCATATGAAGAAAAATTTCCTAATATAAGTTTTTTTTTAAAAATTCTAAATGAAGTTTATAATACCACTTGAAAAATTGTTTGAAATAACGTTTTTTGGCAGATGTGCTATTTTTATGTAATAGTTATCCTTTTTATGTAACAGTTATATTGTAGGTTAGTAACAGTTATCCCTGATTTATAAACTAATACTCCCTTTAAAGTAAATTATGAAAGTGGTGCACAATAAAAAATAAATAAATAAAATACTGTTTTACAAATGAAAAGAAATTTTTTAAATCAAGTCTGATTACTGTTGCTGACAATTCTAAGACTTGATACTTTCAGGTATGATTTAGGAATTTTCCAGGTTTTAGCAAAAAAAAAAATGCAACTTCCCCCGACTATTCCTTGCTTTTTACAGTCAAAATAAAATTCCCTGTCAATATCAGGTTTTCCCTCTACTCCTTTACACATGGGAGTGTTGCACTCATCTTTAATAATGAGAAAATTGTTTGTAAACAAAGACAAATCACAAATAAAACTCTTACATTTTATTTTTTTAATGTAGATACAAAAAAACAATACAAGATAAACAATTTTTAAACATTTTCCAGTTCATTTTTCGGTACTAAAGCTTTATTCATAATATTGTAGACTCTTGTTTTACGATTACCCTGATTTAATGAACCTTTAAGCTTATGTTATAAACATTATGTTCATCAACACAGAACACTTCAATTACTTTATAAAATCATTAAACTATCTGCCTGTAAATAAACTCACCTGTAATCCAGGTAATAACATTTAAGTTGAGCCATATAGCGTTCAAAGGCAGGGATATTTTGATTCTTGATACTCCACTGGGCACCTAATTCTAAAATGTCACCTAAATAATTAAAAAAAAATTCTCATTTCAAAATTTTAATTTTCTAGAGCCTAAGTCAATAATTTTTAAATGACTCAAATTTTTTCTTTTCCTGTTCTTCTTGCAAAGGTATATTATTTCAGTATACATTGATTTTCATAGTATAAAAATTTTTATCACTAGATGTTGAAATGCTCTTTACCGAAATAACACTTCCTTCAGGGTAACTAAATACCATCTATGTTCTTTAATGCAGCTTTCTATTACAGTGACTCTTATTATAATGACTGATAAAATAAAATTAGCTATTCCAAAAATCAGGGTTGGGTTTTTGACGTCAAAAACTTAAGTTTGCCAAGAAAATATATAAACTTCAAAACTACCAACAGTTGCCATGCATTATATTGAAATTTAATTATACTATAGGTAATCAACAGGTTTTAAAATATTTTTTAATTAAAATTAAGGTAAAATAACAGATTTAAAATCTCAGAAATTTATATTCAAATGCATGTGCAGAAAAATTTTGCACAAAAATTGTTTAAGTATTTATATTTTGAAAAAAAAAAAAATTTTTTTTTTGATATTTAGAAAATTAAAAGTTTATTACTGTGCATTTTTGACATATAAGGAACATATAACTAATATTTATAAGGAACTTACAAGTTATGTTGTATAAATACAAATTTGATATAAGTGTATAAAAAAATTTTTGAATGTTATACCAAATATCTTTATTATCCAGTATGTTAATTTGAATTTAAAAGTAGTTATATTTATGAATAATGATAAATATAATTCATATTGTTTATTATATTTATTTATAATTATTACACTTATCATTTTAAAACAATTTTTATCTCTTAATTTTTTTTTCTCCACTTGTATTAAGAATACAAATAATGCATATCTTGAAAGCAAGAAGTAATTATTCAACAGCTGAATATTTAGATATTCAACAAAACTATATCGTATTCAGCAAAATGAAATTCACAAGTATTTGGATAAACTAAATTTTCAGCATAGTAAATGAATAGGCTGAATATACTGTAAATCGACACTAACTACTCTGTGTATTTAACAGAAAGCACTTAAATTTGTATTGTCTTATGTTAAAAAGATTATTAAGAAGATTTAAAAGAATATTAAAAAGATTTTTCTTTAAAAGATGTCTAATGTACAAAACTGCTAATGTTTATCTTTAAAAATGTCTAATTTTTAGTATAATCTATACTATACACTAAATTTGGTTATAAATAAATTTCTTAATAATATCACTGCAGATTTTCAATAACACATGAAAATGAATACATAATATTACAAAAGATGTGAGCTTTCAAAAGTACAAGATTTTGGTTACTATTCAAAATATAAGTGTTTCTTCAAAATTTTAAATTTATTTTTTCTAGAACATATTTAGAAACACTATCCTTTATAAAAGATATATAAATTTTATGTATTAATTAAATTTCACATATGAATATAGATTTTTGACAGTGAGGTTTTTGACATGACGGTTTAAACCGTCAAAAACTGTCACATGTCCAAAAACCTGCCAACCCTGCCAAAAATGCAACGTTACTTTAATGCTCAGAACTATCACACTGGATTGTTCATTCCAATATAGTTATCAAAATTTAGTTTATTTCTTTTTATTCTTGTAGTGTATCTACCACTTCAAAAATATAATTCCAATTCACTAGTATATAAGACATGTTAACTCAATTCTATGGCGGGGTAACTTTTCACAGATGAAACTTGACATTGTCGATATGCCTCTCCCCACATTCTTATTAAAATTATATAAAATAATTTTTAAATTATGTGAAATATGCATACACAAAATACTTATTCTATACACATAATATTTATCGCATCAAGTTTTCGGTTAAAAAAAATTCTGTATTGAACATGTTAAAAGATTAGACCAAAATAGCCCCATTTTATGTTAAGATCTCTATCATAGACTACCTGTCTCAATCTACTGTACCTTTTGTAAAAAGAACTATATTTAAAGACAGAGTTAGGAATATTGATCCCAGAATTCGGTAAAAAAGCATAATCTAGAACATCAGTCAAAACATCTCATCTAATTAAGCTTCTCTTATAACAGAGGGACTGGAAAGAATATTTCTGATTTTATATTAGTTTTGTTCAAACTTTGAAATTTCTTAATAGTTTCTGATACTGAATAGTTTCTACTACTGAATCATTTCTGACATTTTAAATCTTCAGTTTCATGAAATTGTCATGACATTCCAGATTAAATTAATATTTTACATTAATTAAATTAAAGACTACCAAAATTATAATTTATTTCATATTAATAAATCTCACTTTTGTTAGCTTATATTTTATTTGATAAACAATTTGTTAACAAAAGAAAAATTAAATTATACAGCGAACATATAATTAAATTATCAATAAAATATGAATGCATATTGTATATATTGGTTGTTTGTGATAAGTTTAATTTGTACAGAATTATGAATTAAAATTAATAAACATCTCTGCATGTTCCTTAAAAATCTTTTGGAATGCTTAGAAACAAATGTTTTAATTTTCTTTTTTCATTCATTTCAAAAGCAAAATGTATAATGTATAATGTAAATGTATAGCACATGATGTGTAATATCATGTTCTAAAAGAAATCTTTAAATATCACATAATAAACGTGAATTCCTTTTGAATGAATGAAAAATAGAGCTTCATTCTTATTCTAACTAATCATCATGATCTACGGTTAATAAATTGGTGAGCATGTTTGCAAAAGTTACGAGTTTATATAAATAATAAAAATTGCATGTTGTGCAATTTTTAAGCTTTTAAAACAAACCAACAAATGATGACGAAATTATTATTTCCTTTTATATACATAGACAGCCTTAAGGTAAGCCAGTAAAGTACTTCGTAGACAAACTTTGTTTTTTTTTAACAAAGTTGATTACATCTGTAAATAAAAAAAGTGACGGGATGATTTCCATATCATGATCTGTACCAAAATAATTGCCAAGTCTTGGCGACTTTCAAACAACAGCCCGTGAGAAAGTGAAAAGAAAAAAAAATCTCAGAAGGGATAGAACTCGTAGCTGCCTAAATGTTTCTTTCTTTCTTTTTTTTTTAATTTGCAAGTTAAAACCCATCTGGCATCTTGGCAATTGCAGTTAGTGTAGCAGATCACAGTATGAAAATATCCCCAAATAGAAAATGTTAAGTGAGATAATTTGTTGTTTGCCAGACATTTGTGATTTTAATTCCCACATAAAAATTTTTTTAAATTTTCAGGGGGCACCTAAGCTTAAATTTCGTATTATACACTAAAATGTTTTTATATCATATTCTTAAAACGCCAAGTAACAACAGTACTGAGTCAAAAATCTATTCCACCTGATTAGATAACTTAAGCAACAATATTCTTTCAGCTTGGGTTCAACAACACAGTTAGTCATTCAATGTAACTAATATATTAACAAATAATTTACAACCATAGGAAGATTTCCATTTTGTGATCTGTGCCAAAATATTTGGTAAGGATTGGTGATTTTTTGGCAATCGGACAAAGAAAAAAGAAATTTGTCAGTTTGGCAGAATAAATGAATTGAATACTAGGCGGCCGAACCGAAACCATCTTTTTTTAAAAATAAAATTGTCAAAAAATATTTTTTATATATAAATAAGTTTAGTCAGAGTTCTTGTCAGGAATGAAAAAAGGCAGGATGCTTTCTCACAGAAACGGAACTCTTAAAACACTGCAAAAATTTATCAAAATGTGTAATATCATGTAATAACTGACTGTGATCCTCAACAATTCTTAAGTTCTAATACTAGTTTCCGTCTAATACTATTTTATGTGTATATTTCAAAAAAATAATTTTCACTATCTAAATAAAAGAAAAATTTGTATTTAATAAATACTAATAATTAAAGCATGTTGAGAGACAATCTATGTGCATTCATTTTATTTTTCAAAAAAAGTAAACTTAATAAATTATTTTTGATAAAAAGCTTAAAAGATTCTTTCCTTAATTTATACAGAAAATTATTAGAAAATGAACATTTAAAGGTGTATTTTCATTAAAAAATAGGTACTTATTAAAAAAATAACTTTAAAATCACTAAAAAAATTTAATGATATACACAGGGTATCTGCTACATTTTACATTTTCAAATTCATGACTTTTCATGATTTTCCATGACTATTTCCAAGAGTTTTTCATGACTTAACAAAGTTACTATTTTCTCGGACAAACATGCAACAATAAATTAAAAAAGCATTATAATAGCATTAATTGAAATTATAGGTATAACCAAAACTGCTATACTCTGCATCTTCATATTTAGATTTTAAATTTAAAAAACAGAGTAAAGAAAGAGTTGAAACAATAAAATAGCTGAAAAAAATACAAAAGCAAATAATTTTTTTTTTCTGTAGAATAATATTCTAAAGAAACTTTTCTTGCTCATCTGAAAGGAAAGAAATACTCCTGATTTTTCTGTTCTCATTTCGGAATAAAAAAAATTCGCCAATGACTGGTTTGTTTCAACTAGAATTTTAAATTAATAAAGTTTTTAAAAAAATAAATAATGAAAATTCTTAAATCACAGAAGAGTTTAAAAGATATCCCTCTAGAAATGATGCTTTTTTTTCTCATTTTCTGAAAGAACACCATAATTTTTAAAGAACATGATAAAATAACTTTATATTCCAATAAAATATGCCTAAGTGGTGATTTTGTTAGGAATTCAGATATTTGAAACAGGATGAAATTAGATTAATTGGAGCAAAAAAAAAAACAATTTTGGAGCAGCAAAACAAAATTTGAAGCATATTTAATAAAAAAAATTAAAACAAGAATTTAATAACAAGAGTTTTTTGTTCATTAATAACATATCTTATTTTTTACACTTTTTTGAAGGTCCTTGCATAAACAAATTAAGTTTCTTTTTGGTATCTTCCAATACTGTTAAATATTCTACTATCCTCAACTTAGCCTCAGATAAGAGGAATAGAATTATTAGGACATAGAATTTTTTTTTTTNCCGGTTTTCTGATTTCCGGATAACGGGTTCTGTACTGTACTTACCTCCTTCAAAAAAAGACAAAGTTATAAAAATTTAACCAGTTGAGAATAATCCTAACAAAGTAAATATTTTTAATAGTAATAAGAATTAAACCAAACACAGATTATTTTTGTGTAGGTATTTTAACAGTTAATTAATTTCTTAAAAATGGAATATGAATAAAAAGGTGGTGTTTGTAAGGGATGGCAGATTATTTTTATAAAATGGGCAAAGAGAGCGCATTTATCGGGATCACTCACTGGTTAGAGAGAACACTGGTTTAGTCATTATTAAAAAATAATCAAAACTTAGCTGTATTGTAGGTATGGGGTAAAGGGAGAAAAAAACTTTAACTAAAAAGTTTAAGATAATAAAGCTAATTAGATATTAAGGTAATTTAAAATAATTAAAACACTAGCAGCTATTGAAAAAAAAACTAAAGCTGTAATGGTAAACAAAAAGAAAAACAGAAATTTTTCTTCTTAATTCTTAAAATAAAGTTTTAATACTAAAAATAATATTTTCCGCAAAAAAATTATCATAAAACGGTAAAAATGAAAAATGCTATAAGAAACGCCTTTAAAAATGAGGCACAATCATAAAAATGCCCATTATAAAAAAATTATATACAGAAGCAAAATAGAAAAAATAAAAATCCATCTTAATTATTCAAAGACAATTCTAAAGCTAAACATCTCAGTTTTCTAATTACCATATTTTCAAGAAAAAATAAAGTTTAAACTCTAACTAATATAAACCCTCATAAATGTGGCATCATAGTAAAATATCTATAAAAATAAAACTTTTCTGAAAAAGCAAAAGCTAAAACAAAAATACTAGTTCTTAATTTTATTTAACACTCAAGATTTCTATTAATTTTTTCATAACGCCGTATTTATAGAAAAAGTGACAATAAAAGAATAACATTCATTATAAATGCTCATTAAAAATTGCTGTCATAATAAAAATGATATAGAAAAGTTATTAAAAAAAAAGTAAAAGAGAAGCAGAAATTTTTTTATTTTAGTTCAAAATATAACTGTAATGTTGAGAATCACAATTATATATGTTACCAGTTATCTGTCTTGCTGTACAGAAAAAGGTGAAATAAAATAATAAATTGTATTAGAAACAATGTTAAAATTCTGCACAATAATTAACACAGAAAAACAAGCAAAAATGAAGGGAGGGGGAGTCATAAGCTTTAAAACAAAGTGTTGAAAAAATGACCAAAGAGACTTGCTTGAATATAATTAGAATATAAATCAACATTACAAAACTCATGGTTCAGTATGGAGTAAATGCAGTTTCAACTCTTCAAATTTTGCTTTTCCATTTGTCTTTTATAACACAAATTAACTTAATTAGAGCTAACAAATATACGTAAAATCAATTTTTTAAAAAAGTATAGAAAAAAAGATTAGTTTAGTTTATTCTTTATTAAATCTATTTGAATTTCTCAAAAAAAATATATATATATATATATACTTTTCCAAATAAAACTTAGCTGAATATTTGCCTCACCGAATATCGCATATTCGCTACATCCCTAATCGAAAAAGAAGATTTATGTATCTTGATCTATGGCAGAATAATCACTAAGTCTTGGTAATTTTCGATCAGTGGACGTGAGACATCACATAAGAGAACCAACTCTAAAGTTATAGCTTATAGTCACCCTCAAGCAAGCTTCTACATGTTTTTTTTAAAAAAATTTTCACGTTATAAATCTTTTTGGTACTATGGCGATTGGAGCTGGTACAGCAGATCATGATACAAAAATATACCAGATGAGGATATCCTCATAACTTACGTGCCACGAGTAGTTCTTGCTTTGTTGCAGTCTTATCACTAGTAGGAAGAAAACTCATCTGGGTCAGGGCAACCTAAATATGGTTAAAAATAATAAATTATACTAAATATAATAATTCATAAGGTCTTAAACACTGGACATTGGTTGGCTGGCTAATTGGTTGGCCAACCAAAATATGTAAATAGAAAAGAAATATTAAAAATCAATTTGTTGGCCAATGAAGATATTAAATTCTGAAGTAATAAAAAAACGATTTTGTTGTCTTAACAATTGTCAAATGATAAATGTCATTATAACTTTTGCGTTTGCATTGAAATAAAATTATTGTTGAAAATTAATGTATGCATAAGTTTTATAATTTTATATCAATTTATTTGATGTAATCCGAAAATAAAAAAATTCTGAGCAGGATGTCAATAATAACTCAAGTGAATCTCATTAAATCATTTTAAATTAATGGCACTAACCTTTAAATTTTCTAATATTTGTCCACATTTTTCTAGATTCGGAGGCTTTTTGGACCACTCTTGAAGAAGAACTTGATAATTGTGAACGACATCACTAACAGCAGAAGCCATATTCAAAGCAAAGTAACAAAATTTGCTTTTAAAGCGTCTGTAATTCCTTACTCTTTAAAATTAAAATTAGAACCACAACAAAGGTTGAAAATGAAGAATGACTAAGGAAATATAGGTATTATAAAAAAAAAACAGATTCAACAAAATACACTAAACTTTTTCAACCGTTTCGTTTTCACTGTTCCGCTTTAACTGTCGGAGTTTGAAATACTTTACAAACGGCAGCGAGTTAAGAATTTTGTAGTCTGTAGGATTGGTTAACTTCTTTGTTGCGCTTTTAGCTTACCGCCCAAAATTTGCTTCCGTTTACCATAATTCGCGCTCACAACGTTTGAAAACGCCATCTAGGGAGAGGACTGGTTCCATGGCTTGACACTTCTCCCCTCCTATTCACAGTTATATAATAGAAACGTACTACGAAATTTTCCCTAATAAAACCATTATCTAGCCGCGTTATCAGCAAAAGAGAAATACTCCGTTACTAAGCAACTAAACTGAGAATATTAAAAAAAAAAAAAAAAAAAACTGGGGTTGGAATGTTTTTTTTTTTAAATAGTTAATAAAATTTGCATCGATTTATAAATTATTTAAAATTTTCCAAGATTTTAATCTTAGAACACATACACTTTTTATGAGGCATTACTTGCATTAAAGTTGTTTCTTACTTCTTTAAATATGAAGATTTTATACTAGGATCAAATTTGTATTATTTTAATTATATGCAGGGTTGTAGGGCAAATCACAAAAAAAAATCCCGTAAAAATTGTGAAATCTGGAAGAAATTATAATACACATTCACAAGGTTTTATACCTGTTTCTTTTTTTCGATATTTCTTTTTCCTTTTGCAATTGAAGAAATTGGAGAATGTTGCGTGACATTTTAATATAAGCTTGAACGTCAAAATAAAATTGTATGTCAAAAATGGTTTGTTCATTTAAAAAACACAGCAAACTGTTGCCTTTTGTACACATGTAGGCATTTACTTTTCATTACTCAAATAAATGAGAAACAATGAAAAAAAAAAGAAAATCGATAAGTTAACTTCATTTTTCGAAAAAATAGCATGCCGTTAGTAAATACTCGGTTGTCTTGTACAGAATAATGTTAATCAGCAGAATATTTTTATAATCTTAACAAGATTTAAATCTGATGGCAATAACTCTAAGTTTTCTTTTAATAAAATTTGACGATAATTTAAAAAGGAAATTTTACTTTAAACGAAAACCTAAATTAAAGTACTTAAACAATTCATTAGTATATTAATAAAAGAATAATATATATATCATGATACAAAAAT